CCCCCCCCCCGACCTTGCCCCCCGGCTCTCTCAACGGTTTCGACAGCAGCTCAAAGTTGGAACAGCCCACCTTCTGGGGGTCAACATTGCTCTCCCTGCGGCTCCAGCGCCTCGGCTTGGCCCCCACCATCACCCACGGCCACGGCGGTGGCGCGATGCCACTCTCGAAATGGCGTCGGACACACTACCTCCGCCTCGCAATAGTAGCCCATACGGAACCGCAGACGCCACAACCACATCCCCAATGCCGGTATCACCAAGCGGATCAGGGTCTGACTACGGCGAGGGTGGCATAGCGGGGGAGGGAGGCCGCGTGCGGCGGGGCGTCGACTCCCGGCGTTGGTGGACCGGCTCGGTGCAAGAGGACGAAGGACGCCGATCGTCTAGCGGCAAGAAGCGGCCGAGGCCCGAGCCCGTCGAAGAAGCGGTGGTGGCTGTTCCAGCGGATCGACGAGGTGGCGGTGCCCGGGGCGACGAGGTAGAGGTGGGCCCTCGACGGGTTGGAGAGGGAAGGAGGCGTGAGGCGACGGCGGCGGCGACCCGCGCCGATGCCACCACCGGCGAACGCCACCCGTGCCCCCCCGGTGGTGGTAGTGATGCGCCAGGCGACGAAGAGAGAAAGGAAGAGGCAGAAAGAGCCAACAAGAGGAGGAAGAAGGCCGGGTGGGGCTGGGGGCTTCTCCGCCTTTGGAATAGATCAGGACAGCGCCACGACGACGATGACCACCACCACGTTGGCGCCGCTTGCCCCGGTGCTGATGGAACCTCGACCGCCGTGCCTCCCCGAGACCGACGGCAGGAAACCCGGCAGTCATCCGCGAAAGCTAGCTGCGCCAGAACAGCCGAGAGACGCAGCGACGAGCAGCGGGACCAGGAGTGCCACGAGGTCGAGCACGGCTACGGTGATGGACTACTGGGGAGCGCCCGCGCGGACCGGGGGTGGGTCAGAGATATCTCGCGCGATCGGGGCAGGGACAGGGCTCCTGCTGCTGCTCCGCCGAGGAGGTCACCATTGGTCATCACCGTCGTCCTAGCACCGCCGCCACCACCGCCGCCGCCGCCGCCGCCGATGTCGCCTTCGTAGTGCCTGTCGCCGTTCGTCGGCCGCATCTGCCCACGCAGCCGGTTTTCATGTTGTTGCGTTGCCATGCATTCTGGGGTTATATTCCTCGGCCCTTCGGTTCCGCCGCGCCGACTTTTGACGCAGCTGTCGAGCGTTGCCTGCTCGCCGGAAGTGTGCCGACTACTGCTGTATCGATGCGGAGAGTCTCGTCGGAGAACCGCCGCCCCGGGCGGAAAGAACGAGACGCGGGGTGCGCTGCCTGCGGAGCTGAGAAACTCACAACGTCTGGAAGAACGGCGTCCTCGGACAATGGTTGTGAACGAAATAGCTCTCTCGCTCTGTGCTCGTGCAGATATCTCTCAGCCTGCTCAGGGGGCCTACGGCCAGCGTTGGTAGGCACGATGGGGCAGGTTTTCTTCCACGAACGGGCAACGTTGGGGGATGGGAGAGTGCACGATGTGGACGGAGAACCCGTCGGTGGCTCGCAACACGGAGGGGGGTGCCTGCGGCGGCGGAATATCTGTGAATACCGTCTTCATGTGATGCTCAAGTCAAGGCCATCGCGGTAGCAGCTATATCAGGAGTGTTGGTATATGAAGGTGTCATATGGTCTGTTGCCGGGGAGGACGGTGGGGGGGGGGTTGCTTCGTGGTGCCACGAGAATCATTGTTGTAGATTCACATTTTCCGCCGAGAACTCGTTGACGTTGACAACAAGGTTGATCAGCCAAATTGACGATTTGAATGAAACATTGTTGTATGTCCGTGATGTTCCTCTGTCGGGCCACCACGTATGTTGGTCGTGTCCTGTCTCTTGCTCCCATATCGACGTACGCCCAAAGACAACCGGTCTCGCTTTCGCCTTCGCATGTTTGCCGCTGCCAAGATTTTCACTTCTACGCCGAGAAAAAAAACTCCGTGATGGTTCTTGCGTGGTTATGTCTGGGTGTTTGGGTTGTTCCTGTGGTCTTGTGGGTGCTTTGCTCATCATGTACAGTAGCAATCGCACCGATACTCCGCGGTGGGTCCGCGACGGAAAAAGTGGACGCGCCATTCGCGGCACCTACGAAGAAAGCAGTTTGGGTTTGTCTGTCGTGCTGTCTGTGCGCCCTCTGCCGTCTCCTGTCTAGAAGTGGCATCGAGGCTTCCTTGCCGCCTCATCCCTCGAGCATCGAATATATCACCCCTGATAGCATGGAAATCGACACGACCTCTCCATCAAAACACTCGGTTGTGCTCATTCACCCTTGGCTCTTCCGCCGGTGTCCGTTTTGCAAGATGGGTACACGTGTCAAAAGCGACCAACCGGTTCCCTTCCACGCCCACCCCCCCGGTCGGCCTTGTTCGGTGGAAAAGACTGGGCTTGGAGAATCAACAAGGGCTGCCGACCACGACGGCCGGCCGGAGGCTGCCTCCTGGGCTGGAAGCCTACCTATGTAGGAGGGCAGAAGGCAGAGTTCTTGCAGCGCGCATCGCGGGTGTGTGATATTCATAAACAGTTGGCTTAACGGCCTGGTTTTCGAATCTGCGCGGTCGTTTCGCCCCACCCTGGCCCACAACTGACGCGAAAAACGACGAACATTGAGTTGTGTGCCTAGCTCTCCCTTCATGCCCAGGAAGCGGACGGTGAAATGACCTCGGCATAATAACGATGCATTTACACCGAGACGCCAAATTTGAACGGAGAACACGTCTTGCCGCGGGAACTTCGTGGAAACCCATTTTTTGCGCCGGCACTTCACACCGACACACCAACACCACGGTCTTGCACTCTCTGCTCCTCTTCTGTCTTCCGGAAGGAGAAGCAGAGAGAGAGGTGCAGAAGAGAAGATGTTTAGAGTTCTTGTTGCGAGCGTGGCCCTCCCTTCCCTCTCGGAATGTGCGTTTCCTGGATCATGGCCGAGCGCTGAAGCAGGTACTCAAAATGTTTCGAGATTAGACAACACAGCAGTCCAAAGGATTCGTTACTTGGAGTTGTACGTAAGTTCAACTAGCTCTCGCAGGTCCTTGACGCTGCATTAGATTGGCCCGCCCTTCCAGAACCGGGCAGTAGCACTGGGCATGTTGCTTGACGTATGGAGTTGGACGTAGAGGGGTTAGCGGATTCGTCGAGGACGAAACATGAGGTCGTTCAAAGTTCAAAGCGTCCAAAACGTATGTTGTACCGCAGTCATGTGTTCCACTGGTGAGTAATGTAACAGCCAAGGAAATATCTCAGAGGTTGGGAAGCATGCAGCCGCAGTGCCAATGGCAAAACCTTTACCGCAGTACCTGAGTCTGATGGCGGACTTGAGGCTTTGTCGCCCCTCTCGTAACAAACTCTTTCTATCTGCCGCCACGAGCACGTCGTCCAAAGCCCAAGTGCTGTTTTGAGGAAACGTGCACCCGAGTGCACCGGGGCAAGAGCTTCGTTGGTATTTACCCGTACTTACCGGCAGGGCAATTTTCCTGTATTTTAGCGCCCTGGGTTTGTCGCATACAGCGCGCGCGGTTACATCCCGACGGAACGAATTCAGATCTGCTGTCGATAGCAGGGGGAGGGTGTTTGACCCGTTCCTTGGTCGAGTTTTGTTTAGAATTTTCGGAAGCTGTGCTGGAACCGATGAGCAAAGTTCCGACGGCCCACGATGTGGGAGGGAACCGACTAAGTTGTGTCAGCTTTACTCTTGATACCGTCACCAGAGGATGAAAAACATTGCTGGAAACACACCCCTCGTCTTGCTCCCCCAAGCCACGTCGTCCCTCAAGAGCCACCATATCCAAGAACTTGGTTTCGCCCCCCCGCGGACACCCGTCTCTCGAAATATCGCGCTCGTCGTCACAGCACCATCTGTTCCTCCTCAGCGCTCCCCTGCATCACTAGCATTCCTGGGGCCGCCGGCCGCCCAAAATCATCCCGCCGCCGACAAGGCCGTCCTCATCGGCAACGGCCGTGACCGCCCTCTCCACCGCGAACGGCAACCCCAATACCAACGATCGGCCAATTCCAGGCCCGTACACTCGTCGGCCAGACCTGCCTGGGAGACCACGGAGTCGGAAGGTGTGCGGCAGCAGCAACAGCAGCAGCAGCGGTGGGACATGCGGAAGCAGCGGCGTTCCAGGAGGAGACGGCCCTGGACCGCTATCAGTAGCGGCGGGGTGGAAGCCGTCGATGACATCTCGCACGCTGGCGGTGGCGGAGACGGAGAGATGACGCTTGGCGGCGACACAGCAGCAACAGCGGCGGCAGCACCTCAAACTGAAGCTCTTTCTCTGTTGGCAAGATTAGACGGGAGCGCGCCGAGTGGGGAGGAGGAAGGGCGGCGCGGGGCGGCTGTGATAGACGGCAGAGGTGACTCTATTCGAGGAGGGACGTCTACCCCAGCTGGGAGAGAGGACCCCGTTCCAAAGGTCGACCGGGCTGACGTCCCGCTAGACGCAGAAGCAACAGCGGGGGCGGCGGGAACGATAACAGATAGAACACCGACAACTCCAGCGTCCGTAGAGGTAGAGAGTGCCTCACGGTCGGAGCCGGCCGCGGGCGGGTCGCCACAACAGGGTGAAACCCCTACCGCTACCGGGGACAAGGAGGATGGCTTCGGGGAGCACGGCTGGTACTCGCCGGCGGGCGACGCGGGGTGAGGTTTTTATTTGTGTCACTTCCGTTTTACTGCTGTTGGGGGCGCAAAATTATTTTTCTGAAAAGAGTTGGACGCCGCTCTCCTCTTTTCGGTTTTGTCGCGTCCTTTCCCGTCACAAGCGTCGTCGCTCAGCTTACGAAAAAAAGGCAGTGCCAATCTCTCTTGGGCGTCAGAACAGAGATGGCATGCCCCCGCCCGGCCTGCCCGCCGCGGCTGGACTTCGGAAGCTCCGTGTCTCAACGGCGACGGCAGTGCTCTCGACGCCCAAGTAGTTTCCGCATGCTCACCGATGCGACTTTGGAAGATGCTTAGAAGGAGCTTAACGCCCTTTGCCCGCTGTGGGGAAAGATATTGTCTTGGAAAATCGATCCAGGCGGCGGTGTTTAGCTGTGTACATGAATGAACAAGGCAACGCAGAGAAGGAGCTCTTCCTCGCCTTTGTCCCCCTCCACAACCGACGGCCGTTGTGAGGTTGCTGCTTCAGTTATTCTTCTGCCAGAGGTTTATCGCTTGCGTCCGCTTTCATTCGTTGCGCAGTTTGTAGCAGCAGCACTGCCAAACGCGTTTTCCCGTTATCGTCGCGCAGGGTGCCATGTTTGGTGTGGCGCTCTGCCTCGACATCTGTCGGGTCGGACTGCTGACGCTCTTCTCTGTGTGGCCTTCTGTTATTGTCGTGGTGTTACAACCATGTTGCGAACGAACGTTATTCTAGTTCTGTCGTCGGGTGGCAGGACAACACTACCGTCTTTTCGTCAGGCCAGGCTTCCTCTGCTGCTGCACCTTCTAGGACGACGGACGCGCCGCCAGAAGAACGCTCACAGGTGTATTGGTGGGGGGACCAAGGGCAAATTTATCTTCTGTCTGTGCCGAGCATCATCAACCGCGCTACTCGATCGAGCGATGATGGTGACGAACTGCTGTGCCGAGCGTCGACCCCGCTGCTCGATAGACCAATGATGGTGCTCGATGGGCCAATGATAGTGAAGAGCGATTTCTCAGCCAGTACCTCGTGTCGCGATCTCGTGTTTTTGTGCAGTCGGCGGCTTCTTCTAGCAAGAAGGATGGGGAAGGGAAGACAAACGGGAAGGAGAAGGGCGGGACGGACGACAACCACTGGTCGGAGAGGCGGAAGCTGGTCGAGGACTGGGAAGACTATGACGAGGTGAAACGCGTGAGAAACCTCAGCTCTTGTGTTGTGCTTGTTGTTGTTGTTGTTGGTGATGGTGGTGTTGTTGTCATCATCGTCGTTTCCTCTGCTAGCCGCTCTGACCCTCGTCCAGTAGCACATACAATACATGGAAGTTGCGGCAGGGTAGCTTGTGCAGGAAAGGCCAACAAGTAGGGGTCAGGGACGTCAGACTTTGGCGTCGAGTCACCCGGCGCATGGCTGAGGATACTTCTCTAGTGCCAGGGAGGGGGCAATCCCCCCCCCCGTTGTTCTGGGGCTCTTCCGTGGGCTGTGTCTCTCTCCCTATTTTTTTCCCTTTCACGAGGTATCATCAATTGCTTCGGTCAAGTGAAAGAGTTTTCGTTCGTCTTTTGCCGACGAACTGACATCGAACAGCAGCCCGTGTTTATGGGCACTCACTCCTACACCCAGGAGAGCGTTCAGCAACAACACGTGCTTGCAAGCGAGCATGGAGCGGGTTGGTTGGTGCTTGACTGGCCGCGCTGCGGGGCCCCCTGATGCCTGCCGTCCGTCCGTCACAGGTGTGGCTTTCGATGCGGCAGGAGGCCAAGCGGGCCGCCGAGAAGGAGCCCCTGCTGGTGTCCTTCGTGTACAGCACCATCCTCAACCAGAAGACGCTCGAAGCCGCGGTGGCGTTCCACCTCGCAAACAAGGTCGGTCGGTCCGTCGGTCTGGTCCGGTCAAGTGTTTTTTTTTCCGTTTTTTTTTGCGGTGTTTTTTTCGTTTTCATGCAGCAGTCGTCGCTCCGATACAAGAGGGTGGTGTGACAAAGGCCCCTTAGTCCTTGTGCCGGCGCCCCTTCTTGTACCGGAATACGAGGGCCCAAGAGGTACAGCATGTACTATGACGGCGTGACAACCGATTTCGACCCTTTTACAGCGGGTCCCCCTCTATTAAGATACCCTTTTGCATAGGAGCCACGACTGTTAGGGGTGTCAATCGGGCAGATTTTGGGGTCAAAAATTTGACCGGTTTGTTCGGCGATTTTGGGGGGGGGCACACGGATTGGGTTCTTTTTAGGCTCTTGAGAGTGCCCGCCTAGTATACTGATAAACACTACATCACTCAGTTTGTTTGTGCAGGTAGTTCTACGCCCAGACAGCAGCGTGGCTCTTCATACATGACACAGACTTGGACACAAGTCCAATAGAGTCGACTGTAAGCTCGGTTTTCTCTTAAAGTTAAAAGGGCGGACGAAAACCAAAAAGCGTGTTTTTTTTAGCTCTGTGCTCCACGCCCAAGGCGACCTTTGCTCCTCTCGAAGAAGCGAGCTTACAGTCCTCTACCTTGGGTTAACAGCTATTCCACACAACAAACCGCATCCGAATCGCATGAGCCAACCACGAGATTTACATGTCTGAAAACGGCCCCTCCAGTGGGGCAACAGCGCCCACACCAGCAGACCCTCCCAAAAAAAAAATCGAGGTCCGCGCCGTTCGGCAGCAGGAGGTGCACTGCGCGAAGGCTGGATCAAAACAAAACGAAGTTTGAAGAGAGGACGGGGCAGTGTATGGTTGCCGCGTCAGCAGAAGATAACACGCGGCGCGCTATCGAACGCGGCAGCCTCACCGTCGTAGAGAGAACGCTGGAGGAAACGAAGGAGGAGTTGGTCAATAGTAAGAAAGTTGTGGAAGAGAGCCAGGCTCACCCTCGCTGCCGCCACCGCCGCCGCTGCTGCTGCTGCTGCTGTCTTCTTCAGCAGCAGCGGCGGCGGCGGCAGGTGTCTGCGTGGCTTCACCGCCCGGCTGCTGCTCGGGTGTGTCATGAGGCATGTGTTCTAGAGTAGGACCGCGCAAAGGTGTTGTGTTGTGTCCCACAGCAGGGCACATCAGAGCACACACACGAGCGGCGCCCTCGCGCTTGCGCGTCAGGTGTTTTGAGGGAGCTTTCGGACCCTTCCGTGCAATTTTATTGGTCAGTCGATTTTCCATCAGGAAGATCCGAGGTCACTTTTTCAAAAATTTTCCTCTAGGAAATTTGCTGCTTTGACACCCCTAACTGTCGGCTTTGGTCCCCGTCGTTTCGTTTTTTCCCCCACACTCGTTGTTTCCGAGACTACGGTTTCTTCGGCTCGAGGCCACCCCGCTTTCTCTCGTTCTCTGTGGATAGTTTCAAAAGCAAGCAACAGCACCAACCGTCCCCGGTGTTCTTTTGCGACGTTGGTGACCGCCTACGCCCCGTGCGTCGTTCTCCGGTATGTGCGCATCAATCAATGTCGCTTCAGCTTGCCGGGCCGCACATGCTTAGCACTCAGGTGCAGGCGCTCGTGAGAGAGTACTTCGCCGACGTGGGGACTCCCTTGCGACGGACCCTCCGGCGAGACATCATCGCAGTGCGGTGAGATTTGTGCCGTTTCGGTTTGCTGCGGGAGGGTTTGTTGATCGCGCCCCAGGGGTCTGTTGTGTGTCCTCGTTCGGGTGCGGCGTGGCACGCCGCCACCCGTTGTGTGAGTAAAGAGGTCGCCTCTGTGTTTGGGTTCGGCTCCAAGCGGCGTAGACAACGGTAGCAGCGACGACAACGGTGGTGGCAGCTGCAGCAGCAGCAGCAGCAGCAGCAGCAGCAGCAGCAGCAGCAGCAGCAGCAGCCGCCACCGCTACGGCGACTGCTCGTGCGTGGGCTTGTAGCGCCTCCTTCCAGCACCCCATGGTGCTGAACATTTCGACTTACGCGTACATGCAATGGACAGCTAAGCGAGATCCGGCGTGCCTGCCATTGGTTAGAATAGTCGTTTTAGACGTTGTTTTCCGAAGGTGCTCGTGTGTAAGTGTGCTGACGTTTCTGCAAGGCACAGGAACCCCCACCCCCCCTCCCGTTCATCCCGCCGCACATAACCCTTTCCCGTGGCACGTTCCGCCTCGCCCCTCCGGCCTGCATGATACCCCCCCGTTGGCGCGGCCGCTGCTGCTGCCGCGTGCGCGTTCTCGCAGCGAGCGGGATCCGGCGTGCGACTCGTACCACGACTGCCTCCTGTACTTCAAGGGGTTCCAGGCGCTGCAGACGCACCGCGTGGCGCACTGGCTCTACCATACCGGCCGGCATGCTCTCGCCTTCTACCTGCAGAGCCAGGTAATATGAGCAGGCGCGCGCAGACTCACGGGTTTAAGTATTGTTTGGTTTCCGCCGTTTGTTGCTGTTGTAGCTGTGTTCGACTTTTCCCCTCCCCCCAAACCCCCTCACCCCAGGTTGCGCAGGAGTTCCAGATAGATATACACCCCGGCGCCAAGTTCGGGGAGGGTGTGTTCATCGACCACGGCACAGGCATTGTGGTGGGCGAGACTGCGGTTGTGGGCGATGACGTGTCCATGCTTCACCGTGTCACTCTCGGGGGTTCCGGGGTCAAGAGCGCGGATCGACACCCTAAGGTGCGTCCGGTGGTGTGGTGGTGTGGTGTGGTGTGGTGTGGTGTGGTGTGGTGTGGTGTGTGGTATGGTGGGTATGGTACGGTATGGTGTGATGCGGTGTGGTGTGGTGTGGTGTGTGGTATGGTGGGTATGGTACGGTATGGTGTGATGCGGTGTGGTGTGGTGTGGTGTGTGGTATGGTGGGTATGGTACGGTATGGTGTGATGCGGTGTGGTGTGGTGTGGTGTGTGGTATGGTGGGTATGGTACGGTATGGTGTGATGCGGTGTGGTGTGGTGTGGTGTGTGGTATGGTGGGTATGGTACGGTATGGTGTGATGCGGTGTGGTGTGGTGTGGTGTGTGGTATGGTGGGTATGGTACGGTATGGTGTGATGCGGTGTGGTGTGGTGTGGTGTGTGGTATGGTGGGTATGGTACGGTATGGTGTGATGCGGTGTGGTGTGGTGTGGTGTGTGGTATGGTGGGTATGGTACGGTATGGTGTGATGCGGTGTGGTGTGGTGTGGTGTGTGGTATGGTGGGTATGGTACGGTATGGTGTGATGCGGTGTGGTGTGGTGTGGTGTGTGGTATGGTGGGTATGGTACGGTATGGTGTGATGCGGTGTGGTGTGGTGTGGTGTGTGGTATGGTGGGTATGGTACGGTATGGTGTGATGCGGTGTGGTGTGGTGTGGTGTGTGGTATGGTGGGTATGGTACGGTATGGTGTGATGCGGTGTGGTGTGGTGTGGTGTGTGGTATGGTGGGTATGGTACGGTATGGTGTGATGCGGTGTGGTGTGGTGTGGTGTGTGGTATGGTGGGTATGGTACGGTATGGTGTGATGCGGTGTGGTGTGGTGTGGTGTGTGGTATGGTGGGTATGGTACGGTATGGTGTGATGCGGTGTGGTGTGGTGTGGTGTGTGGTATGGTGGGTATGGTACGGTATGGTGTGATGCGGTGTGGTGTGGTGTGGTGTGTGGTATGGTGGGTATGGTACGGTATGGTGTGATGCGGTGTGGTGTGGTGTGGTGTGTGGTATGGTGGGTATGGTACGGTATGGTGTGATGCGGTGTGGTGTGGTGTGGTGTGTGGTATGGTGGGTATGGTACGGTATGGTGTGATGCGGTGTGGTGTGGTGTGGTGTGTGGTATGGTGGGTATGGTACGGTATGGTGTGATGCGGTGTGGTGTGGTGTGGTGTGTGGTATGGTGGGTATGGTATGGTGTGGGGAGGAATCGGGGCGGCGCCTGTTTCACATGCACCGGGTGTTGCAAGGCAGCCTTTTCGAGGCAGGCCTCGCCGGTACTACTGTCTCCTTCTGTTCCCTTTCTCCGCCGGTAGGCGATAACGCTGCACACATGCACCCCAACCATTCACTGGCTAACCCAGCCACCACTATGACAGCAGAGTCTCGTCAGCACTCCCGCCGCAGACGTTGCACATTACTTTTTACATCAAGCACAGTAAGCAAGGTTGCATACATACCCCAACCATCCACTTGGCCAACTCGCTACATAGTTGACAGCAGTGTCCCGTTCGCCCTTCCGGGGTCGCTACGGCGGCTGCCCCCCTTCTCTCTCTCGTCCCCGATCGGCTGGGTGCGCGCTCGCGACACGCTTTTTTATCGCTGAAAACCGATGATGGGCCCGCGGGTGGTTCCCCTCCCTAGATTGGCAACGGCGTGCTGATTGGTGCGGGGGCCTGCCTCCTCGGGAACATCAAGGTCGGGAAAGGAACGCAGATCGGCGCGGGGTCCTTGGTAGCGATGGACCTGCCAGAGAGGTGCGGCGGTGTCGGCGGGTTTCGAGTTGACTTTCCAAGATGTTTCCCTCGGGGTCGTTTTTATCGTGCCAGTGCAGACAGGCCTGTTTCGTGACCTCACCGCAGGCCACACCAACCACGACAAGACACCGCTTTTTTTGCCTATCACCAGGAATGAGTGCAATCGCCCGACCCCATCCTCTGCACCTTGTTCCCTACTTTTTTTTTCGTGTCTATACGTTGGCTGTGCGAACACCTGTCGCAGGTGCGTGGCGGTCGGAGTACCTGCCAAGGTTCTCGGGCAAGGAAAGAAACGAAAGCCCGCCCTGGCGATGGACCAGGACTGCTTCAAAGAAGTTTGGGGGGGGAAGGACATTTGAGGGCGTCTTGGTGGTGTGGAGGTTGTGTCGAGACGGAGGTCTCCGTTTTTGGCATCTTGTGGCCAAGGAATTTGCTGCTTCGTGCTACTTTGGTAGCTGACATTGTCGTGCAAGTGAATATGGAAATGGGATAGGAATGGAAAGCTTGCGGGTTGGTGCTAGAAGGGTAGGTCAGGGCTCCATTTGAGAACTGCTCTGACTTGGCCTTGAAGGGGGGAGTGATGACGGTGATGGTTGTGAATATGCTGACTCCCCCAAGCGTAGCACCCGCTGAGAACAAGCGAGCTCGTGTTGTCGGGGTCTGAAATCTCACCGCGATTCCCTTGTGCAACCGTGACCTGGTGTCATCGTCAGGCGGGTGACCGGGGGAGCAAGGTAACATATCAAACATCGTGCCCCCAGAAAAATGACAGTAGATATCGACGGGGGTGACATTTTATTTTTTTGTTGTCGTCACGAATCACAGCTTTCATGTCTCTTCCGCAGATTAGAGGCCGGAAGAGATAAATGAATCCATAGCGTTGGGAACATCGTGCGCTCCGATACATGGGTGAATATCGACGTGGGCGACGTTTTGATTGAGAAGAAAACGAATTCGCCTCTGGCACTGATAAGAGTCCAGAATAGAATTGCAACGAGTTCATCGCGTTGTATGATGACGACCAGCATAAAGCTACATCTCCCCTGTAGGTAAATGTCTCAACGCGACGGTTCGGAGGCCATTTCGTGCATCTTTTTGTGTTCGGTTGCTGCGCCATGTTGCGACTCTGAGCAGCCGATCGATGTCGGCGGAGGCACGGGGCGTCTAGAATCGGGCAATGCACTGCCGGGGGGCGTTCTTTGCTTCGAGCCTTACCGGTTGTTGGGATGGACCAGGCAGGACGTCGAGAGTCTCTGAACAGGGGGTATGGAGGACGTGATTGCCTCTTTCAGGGTATATCTGGGTGAGCTTGGATTGGCGGTTGTTCGTTGAACACTCGTAGGCACGGTGTTTGTGGTTCAGAGTCGACGGCCGTGGCCCGTACGGAGTTCACGACTGCCCGGGAGTACTTTGCTTCTGCTGAACTTTTCGCGTTTGTTAAGGCGGTTGCTTCAAGCTATCGAAGTTGCTAGCATGAGAGTTAGTAAATAGCTCATACGGAGCAGCAGTGGAAAGCCACCAGTCTCCCTTTTATCTAGTAAAACTTGCTATGTACCTAGTAGACAAGGAGGCGACAACATTTGTGGCACGCAGTTCGCTGATTGGTCAACGCACCTGCGGTGCAAAACGAAAATTCCAAAGAAAACAGGCACGACACAAGATACTTGTTTGCTATGTACACAAATGACCCTGCCCTCCCATCTTGGATGGATCTTCTTGCATACTTTAAACGAGCTGGTGATGCATGTCGCCCTGGGCTGAGCGGACCGCGCACACTTCGGAAAATCCTTCCTGGCGTCCTGCTGACCAACCGACAACATCTCGTCTTCCTTTTGCAACCCCTACTGCTGTATAGTGAAGATGTTTCAGTTTCAACCTGCCCTATAATATTTTCCCGTCACACTTAATCAGCGATGAACGCCACTTTCGCTTCCCTCCTGTGCTACCTCCCTTCGGCCCGCAACCAGCTTGCGGGGCCCCCACCCCGAACAACGTGCGTGGCAGCCTTCCACCATGTGTAAGGCGTTACACCTCCGACGGCAGACATGAACTTTAAGCCTGGACTTGAGGCCCAGTTACCAGATGGTGGGGGCGCCATTTCCCGTCGTTGGACACATTTGGCGCACCAAGATNGGGGGGGGGGGGGGGGGGGGGGGGGGGGGGGGGGGGGGGGGGGGGGGGGGGGGGGGGGGGGGGGGGGGGGGGGGGGGAGGTCCGGTGCTGAGGGCAACAGTCATGCATCCACTGAACAGCACCAGAAAAACCGACCTCCGACGCGTGTCACTGCCGCTAACGTCGGACGCCACGGAGCAGCTGCAGCAAAGCTTCAGTGAGTGCATGAAAATCACGACAGAGCATCTTGAGCCGCACTGGCGCACAGTGATTGTGATTCGTGCCATGGCAACGTACCGCGGCTGTTGGCAACCTTTTAGCTACAGCACCAGCTCTCCGAGCCATTGGCAGAAGATAAATGCTACCGGGTCAAGATAGCGGTGGTCTATCGCCTACATCGCACCCCGCAATCGCGATTTTGTGTTACCTGAAACAGGTTATCAACAAACGCCAGGCGCTGCACGGCACGCACACTCTCTAAACTCTTCAACGCTTCGCATATGCGAAACGAGACCGGTGAGCGGCTCGGAGAGCGGGCGAAAAGCACACGTTCTCGAGGGGAGACGAAAAAGACAAAAGCGCGCGCGCGGCAAGGGTGTGGACACGCCAAAAAACGTCTCCATACCTTCGGGAACACCGTGTCCTTCGCAGTGTCCGCCCACATGGTGTCGAGGTGCTCGTACTTGTCCTCCCGGATGGACAGGACCACGTTCGGCAGCATCTCTATCAGCGACTCCACCTCAACTGCGGGGCAACAGGCGTCATCAGGCGTCGGCAGCGGTGGAGATGTACGAAGCGGCGAAACGAGGGTCATCGGGCGCCCACGGCGTGCGGCGAGGCCGACCTCTCGAGACCGTCGGCAAACATGCGGGGACACACAAGGGGGAAACGGATTGCGCGCGCCTGTTGACGACCAGGGGGCGTGGAAAAAAGTACGGGGCGTCTCTGGCGTTGCACGCCCGTCATTCCTCAGGCGCGTTTCACGCAGCTTGCCGGTGTTCGGTTTTGTGTCCTCGCTCATTTTTAGGGAAGATAAATAACCGCCTCACGTTGTCTGTTCGTGCCAGCAGGTTTCCGCAACTAGCTGTTAGAGGAAGAGAGATGGCACCCCGCCCATGCCGGCTTTCGAAGCTCGAGTTCTCCACAGCCAGGGGGGTGCGGAACAAGCCCGCAATTTTGTGCCTGTGGGATAGGCTGCATTCGTGGAACTCTTTGTCTTTACTGTTTTTTTCTTAGAAGAGGCCGGAACAAGACGTAGTGAACATCCTCCCATGACTTAACGCCAACACACGTGAAGGCGAGGGGGGGCGCACGCTCACCCAAATAATCGCGGCCTCCGTACACGATGGCCACCGGACACGACACACTGGCGACGTCGTATGTCACGGGAACGTACTGCGAAGCGGGCCCATCGGCGAACATCGACAGGCGGCCCGAGTACATCATCTGGAACCAGTGAAGAACGCACTTCACTATTGTAGTGGTTGGATCGCACAGACACATGGAACGCGCAGAGAGGGTCAGCGATCGAGCTCACCATCTGGAACCTGTGAATCACGCACTTCGCTAGTGGATGGGTACACACAGGGACCATGGAACGTGCAGAGAGGGTAAGTGACCGAACGTGGTAGCTTGAACCTGGAGAAAATGCTGAGGGCCGTCGGGGGTGGTGGTTTCGCATCTCAGGCGGGGTGCCGAAGGCGCGTCTATGACAACTTGACCAGTCTACCGTATGTTGCACAAGATACCACACCCCCTGGACCGATTTTCAAAAGCTCGATTTCTCCACGACCAAGAGGATGCCAAACTTGGGGAGTGTACGTTTTCGGAAAGCTCTCGACGAGACGGAATTTTCGGCATCGTCACTGCTTTTCCCGCCGAAATATCGGGCTTCGAAAACCGGTCCAGGGGGTGCGACATCATATGCAACCTACGGTATGTTGGCGGTTTCGCTGATGGCTGAAGCACACCCTCGGAAATGCTCCTCACATCCTCCCGAAATACGTAGGAAAAACTCGCTTCTTGTCTTGATTATCGTTACCACCTCGTACAGTGTCGCCTCACATCATGAAAGGTTTCATTAAACAGTTGTGCAACAATTCCATCCTTCCCGTTCTATTGGACACACCGCGCCAGGCGCGTGTACTGCCAAAAATGCCGTATCCAGTACGACCACACAAGCTATTAAATGGACATTCGCCTCACGCCACACGGGAAGCCTGAGTTGGAGGTTTGAGGCGCCCGTAACAAAGGAACAGCGTGTCAAGAGTCACTTTGATCCTCCCAGTTGGGTCATTGTCAACCACAAGTTGTCGCTTTCCAATCCCGCCCACCTGAGATGAAGCTGTAGATATGCGGGTACACCTCCAGTTTCCGTTTGGCCGAAATCTGTGCGACACAGGCGAAACCAAGCGAGAGGGAAACAGAGGTTGTTCCACATCTCAAAAGGAAGGCGGGAAGCGGAGATATGGAGGCAAGCAGGCACTCGAGCGAGGCGGGGGTGTTAACAGTGGCAAAACAAGCACTACTACAAGGGTGTTACAAAACAAAAACATTGCTCATTCCAGACGGAGACGAGCAGGTCGGAGGAGGATATCGATGCTATACACCAATTCAAGAGAGAAATCAAAATTGCAGCTTGGCACAGGCACACAGATACATCGTGCACAAAAACGCGAAGCATATCTGCCGGTCAAGGGAAAACCGACCTCGGACGCACTCCACGAAAACAGGTAGGAAATAGCCCCGTCGATGGTGGTCACGAAGAACTCGCGGCTCATCATCCTCTGCCACGTTAGGGCCACCGGCAGCATCCGTCTTCTCCCGAACAGGAGATAGATGAACCTGATAAGTCGTTCGTCAGTTTTCCAACCAAGCCAGGCGAAAACAGAGCGCCGTGTGTGTTGAAGGGAGGGTTCGCGTCGATTTGGTACCTGCGTTGTTTTGTTTTCCAGGACAGCAGTGCGTGCGCCCTGCGTTATTTTGTTTTCCAGGACAGCAATGCGTGCGCCAACGGCTGTGCTCTGTGTACCTTTTGCTGACAGCGAACAAACAAAATGAGCGCCGCCGGCTGGTGTACCTGTCCCAAACCCAACATGGCATGCAAAAAAATTCACCCAAAGGAAGGCCGTCCTGAATCAGAGTGAAAACCTTCGTGCCCTGATCGCGCCAAACGCCGATATCGTCATCTGCCAGACATTCATGCGCACTTACACCGCACCGTCCGATCCAAACATCACCGTACTCCTTTCACCAAATTTGTTGCGGGATCACACATCGTATCCCAAGCGTATTTGGGACCATTAGTTGGGTGTCCTCGGCACTAGATGCGGATCTACAGAGATCTGGGGGATCAAGTGTAAATATGTGTTTGTAGAAGGGCGACCCCCCCCTCTGCCGCGCAATGGCTCGCATGTCCTGCTCACTCGAAAATAACCAAGGTCTAGGGTCAACCTTTCTCCGCTGGCCCTACACCCCCTTCACGATACCACCGCCGAAACGACAACACCACCACCAACCCGCACTCCGACCCCAGGGCAGCACGGCCCCACGACGTACCTGAGATTGGCTTGGACCAATGACAGCAGCAGGCTCTTGGACAAGTGGTTCGCGCGGACGGCGGGAGAAAGCGCGACGAAGAGGAACACCTTCGCCTGGAGGTCGGGGTCGCTTGAAAAGGCCGCGAAGGCCTGCGCCGTGCCCTGGGAAAACCCGATGTAGCACAGCTGGGGTTGTCTGCGTGGGTCCACGCGGTGACGCGAGCAGGCCGAGAGGGAACGAGTCGGAGAGGAAGAGCTGTCTTCCGTCCCAGGAGGTTCGATACCGGTGGTATCGTGGTACGCGGTACGGCGCACCCACACCACGACCGCTGCTACCGAATAAACAAACAAAATTCGGTACGCTTCTAATCGACACCAACAACTCTCCTGCGTTGTGCCACCACCGCCATCACCAAACAGTTCAAGAGCTGTTGCGACAAAACTACATCATCATTCTGCCCGCTCGAGTGCTAAAGTACCGCGTCGCCAGTTTCGAAACTCCTCACCCCGAAACCTTGAGGACGTGATCGATCATGGCCGGCGTGTCGTACCGCGCCAGCTCGTCGATGCTGAAGTCCCAGTACGCGTCCGAGGTGACTGGCGATCGTCGGAGGTGCTGAGGGATGGTTTTGTTTCCAACGCCGAAGCGCACGAGCCATGTGGGGGTCATACAAAAAAGTTAGGTCTTGCGTGTTTCTTCATTGTTGGGGGCGAGCGGAAATACTGCAGTTGCAGGCGAAGTAGCAAATGGTTTTCATTACATCAGAGTGCAAATCACAGCGCAAGCATGCACTACTTAACCGAGAAGAGAAAAATGAACATCGGGGTTTCCACGGAAAGGCTAAACTGGAGCGATGCTGAGGTGCAAAAGGGGGGTCGTGGGACAATCGATGACACAACACATCCAAGTACAGTCATTCAACACGCATATTTGGACAGAGAGTGGAGCACCTTGTGGGAATAGCGGTTACCCCGGGCGTTGCCTAGGAACACATCAAACCCTGCCGCCGCTAGCCGCAGCCCAAGCGCGTGGTCTCTGAAACAAGTGGAATGGACGCACGCACGTGGGTAGGATTATACCACGGGAATAGTCTAGGCCTGATCGCTCAAACAGCATGGCCACAGCCATGGGAAAGAACAAACCACGTAGGCGTACAGACCTTGCGAAAAATCGGTGTGACAATACTTTGAAGAAAAAATCGCGGAAGGAAAGATCAGCGGCAAGATCTTGCTACGCAGCGGAGTTCGGGGTGTTGGGGTGCATGGCTCTTCTGCGTGCGGCAAACGTTGCGGCGTTTACTTGAGCTCAATCCAAGACCGCACAAGATACATACTCCACCAGTATCGTTCCGCCTGGGGAAAATCCCCACCTGCCCCCGCAAAGAAGCGCCTCCGAGTCCTGCATCAAACCGTGCATCAGAAGAACCGCCGGTCTTGGCCTCTTGATGTTCTTGGCTTGACGGCATCTTCTGCCATCACCATCGGTGCCGGCCTGCTTTGTCGTATCGGGGAAAGGAGGGGGGGGCCTCGTTGGTCAACCTCTTACCTCACCCCCTACGGGGATGATAGTTTGTTACGGCTTGCACCACGTCAGGGGGAACGCCAAAATCTCAACGGCAGCCCTTCGGCAGCAAAACCACTGCAGACTGCGGTGTTGGTGGAGATGGCCGCAGGAAAAAATGCCGAACCCTCGGCCTTGCCCGCCACTCTCATTCGATGATATCAGCTGAATCGTTGATTTTTCTACCGTGGAGGGTGGGAAAATGTGAAAATCAACACGCTCCTTTAGGCTTTGCATGAGTACAAGGTGGCCGCTTTCAATGCAGCGGTCATACACGGCGCGGCAACGACACAAAAAAGGCGGCGGCGGGAAGAAGGAGAATGAGGCGATCAATGAAATGTACGATCTACACGTGAGTCAGTCTGGGTCATATGGGAAAAGTCCAATCAACCGAGCGAAACGGGCACAAAAACGAGGTGGCTACTGCGGAGGGGGGATCCAAGACCCGCTTCAAACGCTTGATTGAGCCACGTGAAACCTCCCAACAACACGAGAGGAACAACGGGCGCGACAGGAGGTCGAAGGGATGAAGAACGCCCAACACGTCCGTGTGGTGGTGGACATAGATGAGGCTGTCCGAAAAAACAACCTTATCGCCAAGAGGCACATGACTTGCGCCGACAGCAGTCAGGAGGGGACCGAAGAGGAAGATCAACACACGTGTTCCTCCGCACAGCAGCAGGGTGCACCCCATCACCTGCCATCACCAACTCACCAGTCTATCTGGGGTCACCAGGCGATGCAACACAAGGACGAAACCGTCGGCAGTTACGGCGTGATGATCCTCCACGGAAAACCCATCGGCCTCCGCCAACTCCCTGGCCGACCTTCGGCCCTCGATTCCGGCCGAGCGCATCCCCAAGTTAGCTCGGAACAGGCTGGAAGCGGGTCGCGACGGAAAAACACTTTGTAAGCCGACCAACAGCAGAAGTCGTTAATGGCATGTGCGATTGGGCAGTCTCAGAGATGCCCCATCTGTGCCACGTCCGCGATTACGAAGCCAGACAACACCCGTGGTGCCGAAAAGTGCAAGCGGGCCATCACATTCCCTTGTTGGATAGGTGCAGTCCTGTGGAGCCGCAGTGGCAACCGCGAGACAATTCAGCAGAGAGTACAGGTCCTGGCACACAGTAGTATCTTTTTAGGGTAACTTAGCCTGTGACCACGGGAATCGACCGCGTCAAGTGTTAGACTATTGTAGTACGGACACATGAAGGTACTGGCTAGAGGGAGATCGGAACGGTTTTTAACGTGAACACAACAACAACAACAACAACAACAACAACAACAACAACAACACACCTTGCGCTCCACCACGAGCAATGCGATTCTTGACAAAAGGCCTTTGCATGTCTATAATTCGTACGGAGTAAAAAATAATGTGGTGTAGCCGCAACAACCGCAGCAGCGACCGCTTATTGAAGCCGAAATCAAACCATTAGGCTATACCAAGGTTTCAAGTCAGCACTGAGCTACAGCAGTACTGCTCTCTTGTTGAGCCCGTGGTACGCCTACTGCTGAACGTGATATGCATATCATCCCCGCATGACAATCAAAGAACCACGCTGCCGAGATGCAAGGTGAAACCGGCCTCAACTTAGAAAAGCTGTTGTACAGCTACAAAGCCGCGAGAACACCTCCGTTTATCACCTCTGCAGTGGTCGAGATCGACGATGCAGCCATTCCAGCGCCCGAGGAAACGGAAACAGAGCATGAACAGCCAGGAGCACGTACTGCCCTATCGTGGATAGGCATAACACGCTCGCAACAAATGACAGGTGCGCCCAGTCGAGAGCCGTCCCGATCATGGCTGCAGTTAGCTGCCCCCCAACGCCGTCAATCTGCCGGTTTTACAATCTGCAGCTGGTTGACCAACTCTCCGCTCTCACTTTATTTACCGAGGGTTATTCACTCCCAAGATATATGAAATTTGCGGTCAACCGTGGCACGGAATGGCGAGGATGGGAACACCTCTCGCGCTCTGTGTGAAGGTGACATTGGCTGAGCTGCCCTATGGTTTGCAGCTCGAGGGCGGCGGGCGGGTTTCACGGAACGATCCAGTATGGAAATCTCCGGAGAAAAGGGTGCTCCGCAGCTTCCATTATCACCTTATGAAGATGGAAAATCCTATACAGATCCCCCGGTTCTTCCGCACTATTGCGCTGCACGAGAGAGTCCGCCGTCCGCGCGATGGATAATAGACCCGACGACCGTAGTGATGCGGCTGTTCGCGCTCTTTTTGGGGACGGCGCTTGCTTTTGTGCCCCAAGACACTCCTGTCGGTGTCGCCAGCCACAGGTCAGCTGCTTATGTTTATGCCTGTGGTACAACTTGCAATGTAAATGTCAGGCATGTCATGACCGACGACAGTCTACAGCACGAAGACTGCTGTAGACTATTCAACTATTTCTGTACCGGCACATGATGTGCCCCACTGCTGTTGGGTTTTGGCCATGCATCGTTGTCGCTTTTTTGCTCCTCGTTATTCTCTCTGGACGCTCCCTGACTGTTTGACAGATCCTTTTTTTTTTGAAAGGGCCTACCGCGGGCCGAAACATGTGTTGCCATACGAAATACGTGTGTGAACAGAGGTCGGCTTTCCAAGATCAATAACGAAAACAACAGAATGACCCGCAGCACCCCACCTCCGCTTGCTCTCCCTCCCTCCCTGTCCGCTAAGCTACCAACCGACAGCGGCGGTTCACGGCACCTCTTCTAATCTAAGGCGGCCATCTCCACTATCTGAACAAGGTGATGTGTGTGTCGCCATTACCGGGGGTGCGGGTCAAATAGCTTACGCCCTCGTGCCACTCCTCATGCACGGCCGCGTGTTCGGGGAAGGTCGCAAAGTCAGCCTACGGCTTCTAGACATCGAGGCGTGCGTCGGGGCCCTGGAAGGTTTCGCCATGGAAATTCAAGACTGCAATTCCGACCTGGTGGGTTGCTGATTGCCGGGGGATTCCTTTCAGCGTGGTCAGCGTTGGGTCTAGCCTCACGAGCCAGGCCACAGCTCCATTATGCACTTCCAATGTTTCCTCTGGGTCTGTCTTGTTGCGCGTCACATGGCTGAACACATGAACGGAAGAAGGAAGTATGGAGGGAAGTCCGTGTCGCTTCCCTCCAAGTGCTTGGTTTCCACACGGATTCCGTCAGGGACCGAGCACCGATAGTGCTTCACTTTGGGCGGGCTTGCCATGCGATGGCAGCGTTGATGCTTTCATTTGCACCAGAGTGCCGCAACCCTATTTATCCACGAGGTGTTTGGGGGTTCAAATGTTCGCTACAGGCAAAGGTTTCGCGCTCGTGCATTGTTTTGCTTCAATCCGTCACTACCTCTCCTGCGAATGGTCGCCACCCATCCCACACTCTTGCCTACCTGTGTTTGTTTCCATAGGACGCGTTTCCGCTCGCGTTCATGCACATGGGATCTTTAGGTCATGCATTCTGATCTCTGGATGCGTTTGGCTCTTAAAACTTATCCGTCAACGTGGTATGAGCCTAACATATTTCACGATGAGCAGAAGCATTGTACAATGTAAGAACTAGCACTGAATAACGTCCCGTTTCATCAACATGTTGGCCATCTAGGTGAAAGAAGTTGTCGCTACAAGCGATCCGGAGGTGGCGTTCATGGGGGCCGACGTGGCTGTCCTCCTCGGAGGGTTTCCGCGGCTGCCGGTGAGACCCTCCAGGAAATTCTTCCTGAACGGTCGGCAACTAGGTGTATTTTTTGTCGAGTTCGCCAGTGGAACACAGAATGGTAGATGTAGCAGTGTTCATCCACGCGTAGTGATCAGATGCGGCTCATGGACCTTAGCTATGAAGCGTCTACACGGCTCTCCTGTTTCCTAAGTCCATTCGAACGCATCGATATGCCTTGGGGTCCAACTGAAGCCAAACCAAACCTCCGCCTACACACCGCGTTCCGTTCCTCTTTCGTTTCCTAGGGTATGGAGCGTCGGGATCTTATAGCCAAGAATGTGCCGATCATGGCCGAGCACGGCAGAGCCCTCGCGAAGTGTGCGAAGGACGGGGTCAGGGTGCTTGTTGTGGCGAACCCGGCCTGCACAAACTGTCTCATTGTGAGTGAGAGGAAGATTTCGCCGGTTCTCATGAACGACGAACGTGTTGTGAACTGTTTCGATCCCGTTGTTCGCGCACGCCTTGTTTATCATGTGGACCTTGTGTGCCGTGCTTGTACCCGCTTGACCCCACTTCGTGCGGTAGCTGGAGACCTTCGAGTGCTTGTCTCAGCAAGGACTATTTGATATATTCGTTTTTGGCACGTGCACTGTGCGCTCAGCACGTGCACTGTGCGCTAAGCACGTGCAGTGATTGTGCGCTTAGCACGTGCAATGGCTGCGCGTGTTATTGGTGCTCGCCTAATTAGCTCTGCCCTAGCTGGTGATTGGAACGATGGTCGGGGAGACCGAAGAAAAAGGTCACATCCCAACTGATTCTGACCCCAAGCAACCCTGGAAAGGCTCCAACCTCCTCACCAACAACTCTTTTCGACGTGGCAGGCCGCCACCAGCGCGCCATCCATTCCGCGCAGTCACTTCAGTAGCCTCGCCCGCTTGGACCAGGATCGCTTGTCGGCGATGTTGGCGGAAAAACTCTGTTCAGAAGAAACTCTGGAACAGACTTCAGCGGGAGCACGTACGGTAAGTCTTGCCTTGATGCTTGGATGAAAGTTGTGTATTCTGCTGTTGAACGCCGTGGTTTCCATACCATTCACATTGCAGCTAGTGCTGCTTCTGACTATGTTTCATTGAATCGACTAGTATGGCTCCGTATTGATTCTAGTTATGTATACACCTCGAGGGACCCCCCGGGCTTGGTTTCTTCATTGCTAAGTTCGTACGCTACGGTGACTGATGTTTTCTCTAATGTTGTACGATGTCTTGGGTTTGGATTATTGTGCATACTGGAGATAACTGGCTGTGAGGAGAGCTTGTGGCGTATTGATGATGGAACTCCCCGCTACGAACAGCGCTCTGACTCCACACGTGCGAACTTGACCCGTTTGCCTGACCTTATTCGCTTTCCGGGGATGTCTCGCTCCCGCAGCAAGAGCCGGAGAGGCAGCACGCCGTTCGCACGAGGCAAGACAGAAATATCCTCCAACTGGGGCCAAGCGTTCGCGGGGTGTATGTATGGGGCAATCACAGCCCAACCATGTGGCCCGACGTGTCTGGAGCGGAGGCGAAAATTGACGGTCGGTGGGTACCGTTGCAGACTGCTCTGCAACGACACGGTGGACTTCCAAATGGGACGAGACTGTTGTCTCCTGCTCGTGAAGATGGTACGGCATTAGACTTGGATTCGGCCTGGCGCGATTGGATATCTGAAACGCTTGTCCCGGCAGTGCGCGAAAGGTGGGTTGGAAACTACGGTGATGACGAAAATCGTAACGCGGTCATTGCAAATTCACGTGTTCTTGGAAATAGTTGAAAACTCAGGTCTTCAGCCCAATCGCTTGACGTCGGCGCGTCCGCGTCCAATGTGCCGGGGTCATTCGACCGGCGCTCCAGGCGCCCCATCCCTTTTCACACACCGTTTTTAATGGAGCATGAAGTTGCACGAAAAGTTATTGTTTGCAAACGTTTCTCGCAACTTTTGTCAGGTACGCTCTTCATGGGAGCAGAAGTTGCGCCTGAAGTTTGAAAACTCTTCTCCACCAATCCACGTCAAGCACCTGCCCCTACCATACACGCAGACCCTCTCCCGCCACACACGCGCGCACGATCCACGCGATAAATGAACGACCAAATCAGAAACTTGAACGACGAGTTGGAATTTATGGCATGCGATGGCCGCAGCTGTGTGGAATACGTATTTGTATGCAAAGAGTCTGCGTCAATAATTATTTGATGTGGGTGTGAGCATGAATGAGGTCTTCCTGGCTTCGAATGGAAGGCACAGGTTTTGTGCCACCAGCTCGTTTTCCAAGCTTTTGTTACAAGCTCTGGCCGGTTTCGCGGGGTAGTGCGTAGGGGTGTGCCTGCTTCTCGCCGTTGCTCAATAAACAATAAATTATCACGCCTCCGCGTTCCACCAGTCCCGTGAAAGAACTTCCTTCACCCCCTAGTGAATGTGCAATAAAAGCGTTTCGACAAGAGTTCCCGACCAAAACTTGCAAAAAACTTTTCTTTTTCTCGCAACTTTACGCTCCCATAAACAAAAGTGCAATAGACGTAAATGAAGAGGGTGTGTGCCAAAACCCCGTGGGCGCCCTCGTAGTGAACAGGGGTTCAAGAGTCTTTTCCATCACCCTACCTTGCTTTCGGTTAACCCGAAGGACTGTTTACGAGAACACGGTTGTAGCGGAAGTATGGAAAAATGTTTGTAGTTCACCTTCATGCCCCATGTGGACCTGTAAATATTTCTCTTGACCAAGAATAGTCTTTCTTCGAAGTAGATAAGAAAAGATCATTGTGCCCTCAGGCGCTGCCAACGGAAGATTTCTCTTCGTATCGCCATCGTCCATAGCTATTTTCTCCCGCTCTGCGGTGCCCTCGGAAAGGCCTGGATACGCATGCTTCGTTTCTTGACAGCTCGTGCTCCTTCCCATTTTTACTTCGACCACTTTCCAGCGTCGTTTTCTTGTTCTTCGTCACATGATCCGTCTATGTGACCCTCAGCCATTGTCAAGTTTCAGCGCCTCTGTACCCTGCACAGCATAGCAAATGTGTGTCTCACGCGTTTTGAGGGGCCCCCAGGAACACCCACCAAAAACGGCGAGATTGGTGGGGCATTGTCAGCGCCACAACCTGCAATTGTGTGGGTGATTCTGTCAATGGGGGATGGGGGGTGGCACCAATAATGTTTAGAGCAATCGCTCAAGATGATCACAATCCCGGAGTGCCGATGCGTAAGATGTTTTCGCAAGCGGCCATTGTGCCGCTTCTTGGACTAACGTCCTTCTCTGCTCCTAGAGGCGATGATCGTCATTACATTTGAGTAGTAATGGCGGCCGTTCACTGAGCTCACCCTCTTTGGTTCGATCAACGCACATGCCTTTCTTTCGTGACACACGACCGCAAATCCAGGGGTACGAAAGTGATCGAGGCCAGAGGGAAATCAAGCGCCCTCTCCGCCGCAAACGCCATCGCGAACCACCTCAAGGATTGGTTGCATTCTTCGACGAGTGGGACGCATGCCGGTGTATCGATGGGCGTGTTTTCAGACGGAAACCCGTATGGTGTCCCGGACGACGTTGTCTTCTCGTTTCCTGTCGAGTGCGGAGAAGGTATGCATATATGGCTGTGATGGCTGCAACAAAAGAGGTGACGTCATGACCGTGTATAATTTCATCGGTCGAACATGGCATTTTCGGCCAAAGGAAAATTCCTTAAAAAAACTTTTGGTCAACCAGAAAACTGTGGACACCTTTTGTTCGAAAGTTGTTCATTCGTTTATGCGACGCTCTGGTCAAGTGTAGACAACTATTCACGATTTATCGAAGGTGCAAGAGTAATCTGGCGCACACGCACGGCTGCATTTCAACTACATCACTTTTTGGTTTGAAGAAGTTGCATGTTGTGACTGCATCCCTATGTCACTATCCTATCGCGGACGGAGTGCAAGTGACCAACCTTACATGGTGCCAAGTAACGTTGACCCATGTTTCATCTAGAGTTTAGTATTGATAAACGTTTACATCGTGGCCTGACTTGCCGCCACGCTTTCCCGCACAGGATGCTAATTGAAACCGTCTGCACCTTTAACGTGGAGATGACTGAGAATCTGTCCGGTTGTATCAGCGCGTTCTGACGTACCTTGAGATTTTTCCCTCTCCCATCCATGCTGTGTGGCTTTTACTGCCCAACGGCAACCTCCATCGCCAGGTCGACATCGGATCTTGCACGGGTTTCGCCCCGACATGGCAATGCTCGATGAATCTGCGAAGGAGCTTGTTGAAGAGCGGCGAGAAGCACTTGAAACGTTGCGAGAATCGGAAAGACAAGCTTTGTCGTAGTTCGCTGGAGTTGCGGTTGTTCTGTGTTTCTCGCCACGTACACCCTGTCACGGCAGCTACACAGGGATCGGATACGTGCACATTGAGCAGCTTCAAGGATAGACAGGCCTTGACCGCAATAAAAACAGGACGACGACCGGAAATAGCTTAGGAACACCCAACAAATGCGTGTGCTCGCGTTGTTGGTATTGCTACTGAAACAAGTATCATTTGCCACGTTCAAAAGTGACGAACTGAGCTACTCACGCAAATGTACTGCGCGCATAGACTATAGCAGTGCCTACGCGTTTGAGTCTTGCCGAAGTGCCCTTGTTGCTTCGCCTTCCCTTTCCGTCGGGCGATGGCCATGACCTTCCATGCTCGCATCTTGATTGCGCTCATTCAATTTCACCGTGTGGCGATTTTGACTTTTCTTCTCAGGCTATGACGTTTTTTTCTCGGGATTCGAGAAGAAGGCGGTGCTCATGATGTCGTGTGTATCGTCATTTTTCAAGATTCGACGGCTTGCTAAAGACCTCGCCAACAAACGGCGCAAAAGACGTACGCGTGGAACGAGCACCTGTCAAACAAGATTGCACTATGGCGACAACACTGTCAACCCGGCCTCTTGTTGCTCAGCACTGGCCAGAGAGTACTGTCTGGCTTCCTGTCTCATGTCGGTAGTTCGCGTTCAGTGAATCTCTCTCAGTATTTCGGCGCCCCGGCACGTACAAGCACTACACACCTCCGATGCACTGTACGTATATTCTTTTTCTGTTGTTGACCTTAGCCTCGAAATGGAGTAGAGAATGACACCGATCGGTCTAGCGGAATACTAGCATAATATAACAAAAGGTCGCGGTACGTTTGCCGGCGCATCAACCTCCAGCGTGCCTGAGCCATTGTTT